AGGGGGGGCAATTTGAACAAAGAACAATTTGAACAAAGAACAATTAGACGAATTACAAACGGAAAGAACCGCTTTAAAATTTCCTTATTTATTGGCTTTTTGGTGCCTTTATTTGCTTTTGCTAGAGTAATAAAGTTTATTATTATTGTAAGCAGAGCAAACTGCTGGACTTAAATGGTATCCATACTGTACGCCCAAAAATCGTCGAATCGCTCATCTTTTACAGTTTGAATTAGGTGAAAAGTAATGACTACCATCAGGAATTTTCCAAATCGATTTCCAAACAAACTACAGACTACAAACCCTTTTAAAAACGTGTAGAATAGAGATTTTTCAGAACTTTTTCTACTAAAAAATTGAGCCAACTTTAGGCTTTCAAATGAGATCAAAATCAAGAAAATCCATCATCTCTACCCCGAGAGCGAGCTATTTTTAGCCGTTTGTAGTCTCCTCCCATAGAACAAAACTACTAACCCTAAAAAAAGCTCTTAATCTCAACACAGAGAACATTGATTTGCCCGGATTTTTGCCCGGATTTCGAAAGCCTAAAGTTGGCTCAATTTTTTGGTAAAAAAAGTTTCAAAAAATCTCTATTCTACGCGTTTTTACAAGGATTTGTAGTCGGATCTTGTAGTTTTTAGCGTTTATAGTTCCAAACCGTAATTTTTAAGCCAATAGCCAAACAAGCCTGGATGAAAATGAGAAATTGAGGAAACAAAGGCTTTAGGCAGCTTATCAACTGAGAATTGTTTAGGCTAACTTTCAGAATTCGATCCGGCTTTGGTCTGAAGGTAGTTTGAAGTTTTTAGTTGAAAGCTGGCTGTAGTTTTGAGTTTTTAGTTGAAAACTGGTTGTAGTTTTGAGTTTTTAGTTGAAAACTGGCTATAGTTTTGATATCATTCGATGAAAAATCACAAAACTCAGTCAATAATAAAGAAATTGAGCTCATCAAATGAAAACTAGCGTTAGTTTTGAGTTTTTAGTTGAAAACTGGCTATAGTTTTGAGTTTTTAGTGGAAAACTGGCCTTATCTTTGAGTTTTTAGTGGACAACCGGCTGTAGTTTTGAGTTTTTAGTGGAAAACTGGCCTTAATTTTAGGTTTTTAGTTAAAAACTGGCTGTAGTTTTAGGTTTTTAGTGGAAAACTGGCCTTATCTTTGAGTTTTTAGTGGACAACCGGCTGTAGTTTTGAGTTTTTTGTTGAAAACTGGCCTTATCTTTGAGTTTTTAGTTGAAAACTGACTGTAGTTTTGAGTTTTTAGTTGAAAATTGGCCTTTGTTTTAGGTTTTTAGTTGAAAACTGACCTTATCTTTGAGTTTTTAGTTAAAAACTGGCTGTAGTTTTAAGTGCTTTTTAGAAAAAGCAATCATTTAATCATTTAACATTTAACTTTAGTCTAAACACAGTCAAATGTAATAGATTATTCGAAATTTCAACCTTTTCATTCAAAAAGAATTTTCGCGTGACATTCATTCATTTTTCATACGCCCACGAATCTCTAGAAGAAATCCGAGATTTCGCCTTTCTTTCTCTTTCGCTTTTCTCTCAATCTTATGTAAAGTATCGAATTTGACACTGATTTGAGAGAATTTTTGATGAAAGGACTCTGGGTGGACTGGGAAATGAGAAATGATTTGATTTTTACTGGAATTCAAACGAATTTCTTAGATTTTCAATTGAAAAAGATAGGAATATCCGTTAAATTGAAATCAAGAAATCAGTCTTTTTCAGTTTTTGATCAGTAAAATTAAGCTAAATTTAGAATTTCTTTCTTCCTTCCTTTCTTTCTTTCTTCCTTTCTTTCTTAGGCCTTTCACTAGACTTGTTATCGATCAAAATGAGTGCAGAAGAGGAAATAGACTACGGTAAACAGTACAAAAAACGTTTGATTACGTACTTTTGATTTCTATTTATCACTAACTTGATCGAAAATCTAGTTTTCCCTTTGTTAAATCTTTCTAATTTCGTTACGTCTTGTTTATTTGTTTACTTTTCTCACACAGCCTTTTCACTCGCACCAAAAGCACTCCTGGTTTTAAATAGAATGTAAAATAAAATGGAACATCAAAAAGAAACATCAAAAAGGCTTTCTTGAATGCGTTGAATTGAAATCAAGAAATCAGTCTTTTTCAGTTTTTGATCAGTAAAATTAAGGTAAATTTAGAATCAGTACCGTATTTCTCTCGAATAGAAGACCGCGTAAAGAGTATCATCGCGTACACCTGCGTGCTCCTGCGTAGCAGCCCTTTTTAAAATTTCTTTTCTCCATAAAAGCTTTCAATCAAGTGCTATAGGGCTGGAAAATGGCTCAAAAATACCACATGAGCTAACAGATTTTCGAGCCATTTTCCAGCTCTATAGCACTTCATTGAAAGCTTTTATGCAGAAAAGAAATTTTAAAAAGGGTTGCTACGCAGGAGTACGCGATGATACTCTTTACCCGGTCTTCTATTCGAGAGAAATACGGTAATATACTTTCCAAAGTATTTCAAATATAAAATGTTAGTCTAATAAGTATTCTAATATTGGGTTGGGGAGAATGAGTCGGCGCCCAACTTTAAAGGGACTTTTTGCACACATAAAGCCTTCTTTAAACATACGTTTGGTTTCATCAAAAGGATCCACTATTTCTCTACAAAATCACTTTTGAGAGATTCCACAAAGCTTTTCTTTCGTGGAGTTTATGAACTTCGAAACGCAGCTGGTTAAAATGGCAAAGAGTCCGACTCATCATTTGAACAGTTTCTTTCACATAAACCTTCTTTGGTGTTTATATAAAAAAGATAGAGCACATTCAATTACTTAAGTTGCCAAATTTGCAGGAAGATCCCACCAATGGTTTTTTCTAGATCACAGTTTGTAGTTTTTGTGAAAAAATGGCTTTTTCTTGAGCGGAGGCGCTGTTTGAATTTTCTTTTAAATGTGATTTTGTAGAGAATTAGTTAACCATTCTACTCATATCAAACGCATATTATTTGACGAAGTCGAATAGAAGTTTTAGACATTTTTTTCATTTTCGGCGCCGACTCATTCTCCCCAACCCAATACTTGTAAAAATACTAAAATCACTCATTACGACAAAATATGAAAACTTTGATATCCAGAAAGCTCTAACTAGCCTCTATTCGAAGAAATACGGTATATTCTTGAAAATTTGAGTTTTGTTCGTTCTTTCTTTCTTTCTTTTCTTCCTTTCTTTCTTTCTTTCTTTCTTTCTTTTCTTCCTTTCTTTCTTTCTTTCTTTCTTTCTTTCTATCTTTCTATCTTTCTTTTCTTTCTTTCTTTCTATCTTTCTTTTCTTTCTTTCTTTCTATCTTTCTTTTCTTTCTTTTCTTTCTTTTCTTTCTTTTCTTTCTTTTCTTTCTTTCTTTCTTTCTTCCTTTTCTTTCTTTCTATTCTTTCTTTCTTTGCTCTAATCCGATCGCATCACTTTTCTAATCCATGAAACCTTCTGGTTGTACTTATCTGATTCGAAAATGCTAAAAAATTGAAGAAAATTGTTAAAGGTTTCTTTACAAAAAAAAACTTTTGAAAGAAACTTTGAATAAATCAACGAAATTTTGATATCATTCGATAAAAAATCACAAAACTCGATCAATAATGAAAAAAATTGAGCTAATCAAATGAAAACTAGCGTTAGTTTTATGTTTCTAGTGGAAAACTGGCCTTATCTTTGCGTTCTTAGTTAAAAATTGGCTTTAGTTTGAAGTGGTTTTTAAAAAAACGCAATCATTTAACCTTTGTGACAACCTTTTATAGGGAAAAACTCGTTTTCCATTCAAAAATTACCCTCTTTAACCTAATCATTATCATTTTCCAAGCTTTTATCTCCTTCCAACTCTATCTTTTTCTTTTTTCTCTGACTTCCGGGAATCTTTTCCTTATTTTTTTCAACTCAATCGTAAAATCTTTGCATTTTTTATTGACTTCCATACTTTTCTCATGTTTTCACATAGAAATATAGCTTTTTTTATCGTTTTTTCGGTAGATTTCCTTCGTTTTAATATTTAATTTTCTATATTTAACCAAAAAAAACTCGTGAATTCTGTAAATTTTAAAGGATTTTTGTCTTAGAACTCTCCTGGGAGTTTTTTTTGAAAAAGTTTTACTTTAAACGTTTTATTGTTGAGATTTTAAAGAACTTTTAGTTAAAAGTTGTAATTTCTATTCGCATTTGAGTTTTGAAGATATTTAAAGGAATTGAAATGAATTGCAATGGATTTAAATGAATTTAAATGAATTTAAATGAATTTAAATGAGTTCTAATCAATTCTAACCAATTCAAATGAATTCCAATCAATTCTAACCAATTCCAATAAATTCCAATCAATTCTAACCAATTCCAACCAATTCCAACCAATTCCAACCAATTCCAATCAATTCCAATCAATTCTAACCAATTCCAACCAATTCCAACCAATTCCAACCAATTCCAATCAATTTCAATCAATTCCAACCAATTCCAACCAATTCCAACCAATTCCAACCAATTCCAACCAATTCCAACCAATTCCAATCAATTCCAACCAATTCCAACCAATTCCAACCAATTCCAATCAATTCTAACCAATTCCAACCAATTCCAATCAATTCCAACCAATTCCAATCAATTCCAACCAATTCCAACCAATTCCAATCATTTTCAATCATTTTCAATCATTTTCAATCAATTCCAATCAATTCCAATCAATTCCAACCAATTCCAACCAATTTCAACCAATTCCAACCAATTCCAATCAATTCTAACCAATTCCAATCAATTCCAATCAATTTCAATCAATTCCAATCAATTTCAATCAATTCCAATAAATTCCAATCATTTTCAATCATTTTCAATAAATTCCAATCATTTTCAATCATTTTCAATAAATTCCAATCAATTCTAACCAATTCCAACCAATTCCAATCATTTTCAATCATTTTCAATCATTTTCAATCAATTCCAATCAATTCCAATCAATTCCCATCAATTCAACTCAATTTTCAGTATCTTTTTTCAATGATCATGAGGCTCTCAACCCTTTTCGCCTTTCTCTGCTCACTTGTGGTCGTCAGTGCTTTTTATTTGGTGAGGAAAACATCAAAAACATTAAAAACATAAAAAAGTCTTCAAAAATCACATTCAAAGTTGAAAGCAAATGAAAATTGAAAGGAAAATTTGAAATTATTTCTCATTTTAAAACATCTTAAACACAATAAAAACCCCAAAAAAAGGCTAGAAATTTCTTTTTTTTCAAAATTATCTTTTCTCAAGATTTCTTTGAAAAACCAACGCTATCTCTTAAATTATAGGATTTCTTGTAAAAAAAGAGTCTATTTTGACGTTTACGACACAATTTTATATCAAAAATTAACTCATTATTAAATTTTAAGCTTTCTAAACCATTTTTTAGGACAAACGAATGGATCCACACGTCTACCGGCTCGGCTTTGGCAAGCGATCCGTTGATCCGAACGCATATCGGTGAGTTGAAACGTTGAAACGTTGAAAAGTCTTAAACTTGATGAAAGTTCATTAATTGCACAGAGTTATTTGAAGAAATCTTTAGGAAACCTTAAGAAATTCACTTCACAAATTCACAAAAGAAAGAAATTTACGATTAAGAAAGGCGGCTTTAAGAAATCAAAAATACTGCATTTAGACAAATTCGGGATATTTTTGTTTTCTAAAGCTTCTTTAGGGAGAAAGGGGTAATTTTTGACCAGCTAGAGTTGGCTAGGATTGGCTAGGGATGACTAGAGTTGGCTAGGGTTGGCTAGGGTTGGCTAGGGTTGGCTAGGGTTGGATAGGGTTGGCTAGGGTTGGATAGGGTTGGCTAGGGTTGGCTAGAGTTGGCTAGGGTTGGATAGGGTTGGCTAGGGTTGGCTAGAGATGACTAGAGTTGGCTAGGGTTGGCTGGGGTTGACCAGAGTTGATCAGAATTGATCAGAGTTGATCAGAATTGACCAAAATTGATCAGAATTGACCAGAGTTGATCAGAATTGACCAGAGTTGATCAGAATTGACCAGAGTTGATCAGAATTGATCAGAATTGGCTAAAATTTGTAGCAAAAATACAACCAAATTTAAGACAAAATTGATCCCAAGGATCCAGGCATAGTGAAGCCAAAAAAATGAAAACTGGCTCAGTCGCTAACTGCTTCTTCACCTTTAAGGCTTCCAAAATAGAAGCCTTTTATACCAGAGCGGTTTGCCAGAAAGCGAGCGATTAAGCGGCGAAAACGAACACTTTGCCAGTCATTTGCTCGCATTTTTCTTTTGCTTCGTAGATGGCACAAAAAGACGATATTAAGCTGTAAATTTGTACCCAAGGGTTTTCGAGAACGGGGAATCGATTGGCGTTGTCCATTTTGTCGAGTCTTTCAATTCTCACCTCCAATCTCAAAAAGATACAGTTCTTCACAAATTTCAAGCTAACTTTCATCTTTTTTAGCATAAACAGCTTTTACAATCATTTCTTATGAAGTTAAAAAAGAAAATAAAAACTTATAAATGTTCTGTATCTAGAAGGAGATCCTGTTCTGGCTTCTGGTTTTATTTGATTTGATTTGATTTGCCTACTCTAGTTGTTCTAGTTGTTCTAGTTGTTCTGGCTTAATTCATAAGCCTTGAACTTGCGCCATCTCTACAATTTTACAATAATCATCTACAAACCCTAAACTTTACTATACTTTACTTTACTTTTTCTTTTTCAGAATGTCATTTGGCAAACGAAGCCTTGATCAAAATGCTTTTCGGATGAGTTTCGGCAAAAGATCAATGGTTTGTTTTAGCAAAAACATCAAACAACTAAACGTTCAGAAAACGTAAATCCAATCCTCAATTCTTTAACGTTAAAATAAAAGCTGAAATCCGTAAACTATTGGGTTGGTGAATTGAAAACTGCCGGCTATTGTCATCTCTGACAGTTTGAGCACTTTCTTCAAAAGAAACCCAGTTTGGTGTCAATGGAAAAGTTGTAGAGAATCAAAAATCAAGCTTATATCCAAATTTTCAGAACGATTCAAAAACTGGTTTTCAAGAAATGCCAAATTTACGAATTTTCACAAAACTTGCAACAAACTTGCAACAAAACTTGCATTTTAAGCGAAACTACGAAGTGTATCTTTTTGGAAATTTGGTTATAAGCCTAATTTTTGATTCTCTACAACTTTTCTATTGACACCAAAATGGGTTTCTTTTGAAGAAACTGCTCAAAATGGGACATTCCCGTCCTCCATTTTTGAGTCTCACACTTCTCTCACACACAAACCAAAATCCTTCTTAGTAGAATTTTGGCAGCGCGCCTCCATCAGTGCCGCTCATCTCTCACGATACGAAAGGGAATCCTTTCTTCCTCGAATTGTTACAGGAGATGAGAAATGGATTTTATCTGAACTTTCGGAGGAATTGGCGATGGGTGGGGCCAGGCGAGAAACCCGAAAGTGACGCTAAGCCCTATTTGAACCAGAAGAAGTTTATGCTCTGCGTTTTCTGGGATATGGAGGGAGTGGTGTACTGAGAGTTGCTGGATAGAAAGACGACCTTTAATGCAATCAAATACAGTGAACAGCTAGAAAAGGTGAATGAATCCCTGAAGAAGAATAGGCCCTTCAAGTCAAAGATCGTTCTTCTCCACGACAACGCGCGCCCTCATGTTGCAAAACTGACTCGCTCTAAAATAAACAGCCTTTTTGGGAACTTTTGGCGCATTTCCCATAAGGTCCGGACCTCGCCCCTTTTGATTACTATTTATTCCGGAACATTAGTAATGAACTTGCGGGAGAACACTTCGATTCGGGAGAAGCAGTCAAAAATTAGCTTTGAAAGTTTTTCGATTCAAAACCAAAATCCTACTACGAAAGAGGAATCCGCAAATTGCCTGTAAAATGGGCAGAAGTCGTCAATAATAATGGAAATTATTTGGAATGAATTGATGGTTTTATGTTGGATAAATTTTAGTTCAAAGTCCCGCAGTTTTCAATTCACCAACCCAATATATAATTCTGCTCAAAATTACCCACTTAATTCCTATTAATATAACTTTTAAGGCACATAAAAAGTCAATTAAGCTAGAATATAGTGCATTTATTGTTGGTTACAGTAGCCAGAGCTCTCTGGAGCCAGAGCTCTCTGGAGCCAGAGCTCTCTGGAGCCAGAGCTCTCTGGAGCCAGAGCTCTTTGGAGCCAGAGCTCTTTGGAGCCAGAGCTCTTTGGAGCCAGAGCTCCAGAGCTGTCTTAACAGCTAAGCGCTTAAAAGTTTGTCTTTACAAAAAACCCAAAAGTCTTACTATCATTTTATAATATTTCTTTTTCACTTTCAGCCCGAATCCTTCATCCCCTACGAACAAATGTAATTTGGACTCACGTGGAAAAGAAAATCAAAGGCCGACTTAAAAATTAAACATAGAATTCTACGATAGTCTAGTAAAATTCGCAAAAATTTATGTAAAATTTACAAAATTTGCTCCAAAAACCTCGATGATCTCTTGAAAATATTTTTTTTTTCTTTTTTTCAATTTCATTTTCTTTTTCTGTAAATCTCGATCTTTTAAATTTATATATAAATGTATTTTGATGTGTTTGAGTAAAAAGAAAAGGTGAGAAAGTGAGAAAACGAGCCGATAAACGTGTACTGTTTGATTTTTGATTGTCAGTGGTAAAAATACAAGCACAACAGATCGAAATTTCTTTTATTCTTCATGAAATTCAAAATTCTAATAAATCCAAAAGTTTATGTGGATTCCAGATAAGAAAAATTCAAATTTTCACAAAATTTGGTCTACTCAAAAAAAAGTTAATACGTTAAGTCGTTAATTTAATCGCAGTAATCCCACCTGTACATCATTCGGCTTCTGGATTTAAATCTAATTACTGTCCCGTTTTCCCATGTCTATTGTGAGCCTTGTGGTCACCGATTGACACCAATTTTCGAGTGATCAGAGGAAAAGTGGCAATTTGAGTTCAGTAGTTTTAAAAAAAAATAAGTGGTACACGTAAGCTAATAGATATTTTGCAACTAATTGCCTTTCGTCTTTCCTTGCTCTTTCCTTGGTCATTGTTCGAACTCACTAAAATTGACATTTTTACAAAAGATAATAGGCTAAACAGGTAGTAGAGCACAACAGATCGGATCAACACTTATCCCGAGCCTACAAAAGCAAGTCTATAAAAGAGTGCCTTGAAAAATTTAAATTAGACTGCATCTACGTGTCTGGGGGAACGACAAAGTTTGCTCAATCTGCTGTTGTAGCATGGAATGCACCTTTTGACGAAGAAGAAAGAAGAAAATCACGAATTTTTTGACTCAGATGTATCAATTTCCTTTGATAATTGATTTTGAATGTAATAGATTCCATAATTTTTTCTAAAATGGAAGTTTTCAGTCCCCTACTTTGATTCCGCAAATAAAAGCCTTTGGCAGATAGACAGACAGACCAACTGTGTTATATATGTTGCGTCTGTTATTGAATTTTGTCCAGTTCGGGACCGGAGGTCGGTTATTGAATCTATTCCATTTAAGATCCGCAATCCTTCACGACTTCGAAAAGAGAAGCCTTTATGTTAGCGCGTTTTGCCAGAAAGTGAGCGATTACTCGGCAGCAAAAAGAACACTTTTCGAGTCATTTACACGGTTTTTTCTTTTGCTTTGTAAATGGAATAGAAAGAAGAGATTCAGCTGTAAATTTGTACCCAAGGGTTTTCGAGAACGGGGAATCGATTGGCGTTATTTGTTTTACTGTATCTTTTAAATCAAAGGGCTGTACTCTAGAACTGAATTAGCACAGGACCTGCAGGGTACAAGGGTACAAGGGACAGGACTAATACAAGGTATAAGCTGTAGGTGTACAGGCTGTAGCTGTAGGGGTACAGGCTGTAGCTGTAGGGGTACAGGCTGTAGCTGTAGGGGTACAGGCTGTAGCTGTAGGTGTACAGGCTGTAGCTGTAGGGGTACAGGCTGTAGCTGTAGGGGTACAGGCTGTAGCTGTAGGGGTACAGGCTATAGCTGTAGGGGTACAGGCTGTAACTGTAGGGGTACAGGCTATAGCTGTAGGTGTACAGGCTGTAGCTGTAGGTGTACAGGCTGTAGCTGAAGGGGTACAGGCTGTAGCTGATGGGGTTGAGGCTGGGAACGTTAGGCACAATACTCTAGAAGAGTTTCATTTGACAAAACACTGCCCTTGTTGATAAATGAACATGGCTTTAACTTTATTTATGTTAAAACGATTTTACAACAATAGCCACGTGGTTTTTATGTCAAAAATGATGAAAAAACGGTTTCCCAGTGCAACCGATTACACTTGTTTATAAGTGTTTCGCCTTTTTCAGCGAAAAATTTCCAATCTCCGAACAATCTTTCTCTTTTTCTCACTTTTTCCTCTTTTTCTCTCTATTTCTCACTTTTCAGGTTTTCCTGGATGACATTTGCGAGTGAAAGTGAGCAATTTTCAAGTTTCCTTTTTTCCTTTTTTCCTGTTTTGTTATTTCCCTTTTCAGATTCTCGAAATGCCCTTGAAATTCCCGATTTTCTTCTCATTTTGATCGAAATTGATCGAAACGTTTAGAAAATTTTAACTCTAAATTTAACTCTAAATTTAACTATAAATTTATTCTTACAAAATCGTCGAATCGATTGAAAATGGTTGAATTACGCGTCGAGAGAATACCAGAGGATTATATTATTGCGGAAAAGCGAAATCCGATCGCGAGAGAGTATTGGAGAAAGGTGGGTGTTTAAAAATTGATTTATTGGGTTGGTGAATTGAAAACTGCTGGACTTTGAACTAAAATTTATTCAACATAAAGCCATCAATTCATTCCAAATAATTTCCATTATTATTGAGGACTTCTGCCCATTTTACAGGCAATTTGCGGATTCCTCTTTCTTAGTAGGATTTTCGTTTTGAATCGAAAAACTTTTCGAGCCAATTTTTGACTGCTTCTTCCGAATCGAAGTGTTCTCCCGCAAGCTCATTACTCATGATCCGGCATAAATAGTAATCAAAATGGGCGAGGTTGTATGGGGAATGCGCCAAAAGCTCCCAACCAAGGCTGTTTATTTTAGAGCAAGTCAGTTTTGCAACATGATGGCGCGCGTTGTCGTGGAGAAGAACGATCTTTGACTTGACGGGCCTATTCTTCTTTAGGGATCCATTCACCTTTTCCAACTGTTCACTGTATTTGATTGCATTAACGGTCGTCTTGCTATCCAGCAACTCCCAGTACATCACTCATATCCTAGAAAACGCAGAGCATAAACTTCTTCTGGTGCAAATCGGGCTTAGCGTCACTTTCGGGTTACTCGCTTGGCCCCACCCATTACCGCTTCGTCCGAAAGTTCACAGATAAAACCCATTTCTCATCTCCTGTCACAATTCGAGGAAGGAAGGATTTACTTTCGTGAGAGATGAGCGGCACTGATGGAGGCGCGCTGCCACTTCTGAGAGTCAGTGAGGTCACGGGACACCCATGGGTCAACTTGGGGCACCCAAGCCCCAAGTTTCGAGGCGCGCTGCCAAAATCCTATTAAGAAGGATTTTGGTTTGTGTGTGAGACAAGTGTGAGACTCAGAAATGAAGGACTGGAGATGTCAGCTGTCAGCCCAGTTTGAGCACTTTCTTCAAAAGAAACCCATTTTGGTGTCAATAGAAAAGTTGTAGAGAATCAAAAATTAGGCTTATAGCCAAATTTTCAAAAAGATACACTTAGTAGTTTCGCTTAAAATGCAAGTTTTGTTGCAAGTTTGTTGCAAGTTTTGTGAGAATTCGTAAATTTGGCATTTCTTGAAAACCAGTTTTTGAATAGCTCTGAAAATTTGGATATAAGCTTCATTTTTAATTCTCTACAACTTTTCCATTGACACCAAAATGGGGTTCTTTTGAAGAAAGTGCTCAAACTGTCAGAGATGACAATAGCCGGCAGTTTTCAATTCACCAACCCAATAAAATCAGATTTTCACGTTTTTCATTAGCTAAAACTGAGATTTAGCAATTAAAATTTCATTCTACAGGACTTCATCTTATTTTAGCCAACTTTCAAAGTGAATTCGACACAGGAACTTGGGAAAAAAAAGTCACAGAAAGACTGCAAGCTTAATTCCGCAGGTTCTCTTCTAATTCTAAGCAGATTCTCTTTATAAAGTTGCCGGTTTCTAAAGCTTTTTAAAGCTTTTGAAAGCTTTTTTATGCTTTTTATTCAAGCAAGTGGCCAAAAGATTTTTACGAATCATACTTTTGATAGGAATCATACTTTCGAGTACTGGGGGGTACATGTAGGATGATTTAGATTTAGAAAAAGGTTTTTTTGGATCTGAATAAACTAAAATCAACTTTATCGTGTTCATTTCCAGCCTTGGATGCCTCTCGTGTTGGTGTGCGTCGTTTGCATGGGAGTGATCGTCATCGGTGTTGTTGCATCGATAATCATCGCCTCGAATCGTTTATCCGATGCTGGATATTATCGAGATTAAAGAGATTTTATGGAAATAAATGAAATGAAAAATGAATATGGAATTCTGCTTAAGAAAGATACAGTATACAGTCTGAAAGTTATTAAAAGAATGCAAGAATTGATAGAAATTAACAAGAAAAGTCAAGAAATTGATAGGAATTGATAAGAAAAGTCAAGAAATTGACGGGAATTAACCAGAAAAGTAAAGAAATTGATAGGAATCAACAAGAAAAGTAAAGAAATTGATAGGAATCAACAAGAAAAGTAAAGAAATTGATAGAAATTAACAAGAAAAGTCAAGAAATTGATAGGAATTGATAAGAAAAGTCAAGAAATTGACGGGAATTAACCAGAAAAGTAAAGAAATTGATAGGAATCAACAAGAAAAGTAAAGAAATTGATAGAAATTAACAAGAAAAGTCAAGAAATTGATAGGAATTGATAAGAAAAGTCAAGAAATTGACCGAAATTAACCAGAAAAGTAAAGAAATTGATAGGAATCAACAAGAAAAGTAAAGAAATTGACGGGAATTAACCAGAAAAGTCAAGAAATTGATAGGAATCAACAAGAAAAGTAAAGAAATTGACCGAAATTAACCAGAAAAGTCAAGAAATTGATAGGAATTGATAAGAAAAGTCAAGAAATTGATAGAAATTAACAAGAAAAGCCAAGAAATTGATAGGAATTAACAAGAAAAGCCAAGAAATTGACCGAAATTAACCAGTTTCCCCTTTAAATTACAGCAATTTATTGTCAAATTACGGTCTAAACTAGCTTTGAAAGTTAAAATCTTATATCTTATAAGTTGTTTTATCTACAACTTGGACAATTCATGAAGTTCAATGTTTTCCTTGAAAAAGTCGACGATTTTTGGCCAAAGCTTTCGCTGATCCACATTCTGTAAATAGGCGTGGCCGCCGAAATCGAGAACAATATCTAGAAACTTTTCTTTTATAAATTTAAAATATTTTTCTGTACCTAAATTCTTTGCGTAAACAATATCTTGTACTGGTACAAATGGTGGTTCGATATTGTGGCCGCTGTGCGGAAGAATCACCAACTCTCCATCAATGCCTCGTCCGAATCTTGAAAGAGATTTGCTAAGGAAAAAAAGCAATTTATTAGTAATGAGAAGTACTACTATAGCTTTAAAAATAAAAAAACCAATCGAAAAACCTAAGAGCGGGTTTTTCTGGCTAGATGCCTTTGTCGCCGTGGCGTCAGGCGTCGCTTGTCTACGGCCCACACAATCCGGGTTCGACTCCCCGCTGGGTCCTGACTTTTGCTTTTTAAAAAAACGAATATGGAATGCACAACTAGATAGACACTAGAGCACAACAATTCTAAGCCTAAGAAACTAAAAAAAGTGCAAATCGGCTCACGGAGAGCCGTGAACTCGCGCCTACAGACGGACAGACAGACGGACAGACGGAAGGACCGACCGGCAGAGGGACGGACAGACAGACGGACAGACAGATGGACAGAGGGATAGACAGACAAACGGACGAACGGACAAACGGACGAACGGACAAACGGACGAACGGACAAACGGACGAACGGACAAACGGACGAACGGACAAACGGACGAACGGACAAACGGACGAACGGACAAACGGACGAACGGACAAACGGACGAACGGACAAACGGACGAACGGACAAACGGACGGACGAACGGGCAGCCGAACGGACAGACAGACGGACACTTCCATTTTACATAGTAGATCTGTAATTTAGCTTCAAATCTACCTCTCCATTCTTTCCTTTAACCTTTTTGCATTCATCGTTGCGTTTGCTCCACCGTCAACATCGCCAGCCTACAGTAGCTTTGTTAATGCTGATTAGAAAATACAAGGCGAATTACAAACCACTTTTTGCAAAAATAGCTGGAAAATGGCTAATTTATTTGAAAAGTGGCAAGTCTTATCTAGAGAATTGTAGCCCTTAATCTTGGCTTCATTTATCCATTAAAAGTTTCCCGATTGGATTTATACAGCCCATTTAAGAAGCGTTTAAATGAGCGATATGTCTCGGTCTCAATCCAGCGCTTGTTAAATGAGTTGTATAAGTCGAATTGGAAAGTTTTTGGTAGATAAATGTAGCTAAGATTAAGGGCTACAATTCTCTATATAAGACTTGACACTTTTGAAATAAATTAGACATTTGCCAGTTATTTTTTCCAGTTGTGGCTAGAAATCGCTGAAGAATCAAGTTTTAATAATTTTGACTAGTTTAAGTCTCTCTTTTCTCTAAATTCAAGTGGTTTTTTTGATTAAGAATTAGAAACACTGATCATTGACATTATTAAATGACTATATGTCGTAGCCGCTAACGAAATTCAGCCGCTAACGAATGAGGGTATTTCCGGGCATCCAATCAAAAAGTCACCCACATAACAATGTTCATAATACATATATTTTATAATAAATTTTTGAAATTAGCTCATTTGGTTCAGTAGAAAATTTTTTTTGAGCCCCCAAAGTTTAGGTTTTTGAACCTAAACTTTGGGTGGCTAGAAAAAATTTTCTACTCAGCCAAAAAACTTGCCCAATGGCTCATTTTGTAGCCAATTTGATGTAGATTCTTAAAGTAAAGCTACATTGAACATTTCTTTTTCAAAGCTAGAAGAAAGAGGGCGAGGAACGACTTCAGTTGAACTCGGTCGCTGTTTTCACATTTGAGAATTGCCCTGAATTTGTTCCTCGCCCTCTTTCTCCTACTTTCAACGAAAAATTGTCTTAGATGGCTTTACTTTAAGAAACTACATCAAATTGGCTACAAAATGAGCCATTAGGCAAGTTTTTTGGCTGAGTAGAAAATTTTTTATAGCCATTTTAGGGCATTTTTGAACCTAAACTTTGGGGGCTCAAAAAAATTTTTCTACTGAACCAAATGAGCTAATTTCAAAAATTTATTATAAAATATATGTATTATGAACATTTTTTATGTGGGTGACTTTTTGATTGGATGCCCGGAAATACCCTCATTCGTTAGCGGCTGAATTTCGCTAGCGGCTACGACATATATATGACTATTTAAGTTCCATTTATTCTTCAGTATTCCAATCACTTACCACGAACATGAATTTCCCTCTAGACTCTTCGATTTTGAATTGATATTCCTCATCAATCTCACCGCCATTATCGATCTTTGCGTAGTTCATAGCACCTCGATTGAAATCCATTCGAATAATATCTTTGAATGGGGCTCTGGAACACTTTTCATTGCACTAAAACGAAACAAACTCGAAAAATGGCATCAATTTTCCATTCTCTTTGAAAACTGCGTGAATTGTTGGATAATTGCCGCTATTTATTGCAACTGTTGCTGAGATCTGAAAGTTTTATTTTGCTTAAATGAATCGATGAATTCGAGCTTTAAAATCTATTCATTCTGTTTCAGTTTTTCTTTCAACAAACCTTTGAATGTTTTGAGGCAATGTAAAGAGCGGCAGTACCGCCAGCTGAAATCCCAATCAAACCAATCGTTTTGCTTGCATATCGTTGAGAAGCTAGCCAATTAACTGCTTTCTAAAATTCGAATCTTCACATAAAATTAGAATCTCAAAGTTGATTCGATTGTATTGTTGGAAGTTTTAATGATAAATTGTAACCAGTTTCTTGTTATTTGATTCTTTCACTTAAATTCATTTTCTAATTGAATAAATCTCAAGCTACCAAATGAAATCCAGTTCTTTTTCATTAAATATCTCATTTCTCTTGTAAATGGCTTCTAAAAGTTTCTGAAAAGCTTTGTTTTAAAGCTTTTTTTATTGGCAAGAAGTTTTCATTCAAAAACGACAATGTGATTTTGACCGTTTCTTTTAACACGTTGACGACAATGGCGTTTTTGCACAAACAATCGCATGGGACAACGTTGTTTTTGTCACCTGACATCAGGTGACAATGTCCCACAGAGTTCTTTTTTTCAAACTTAAAATTTTTGTGAAAGTTTAAAATGCTTATTTGATAATTATGAAATAACAATAATCTAGAAAGTTTTATTCATTGGTGATGTTTCTAAGTAGGAGATAACTAGCACTTATCGTCGTTGGCTCTCTAAATAATTCCAGATCGTAAAGGCTGGTGACTATAAATCACCACGGATGTCCTATCAGTATTCAACTTTTTATAGCTGTTTATTTATTTTTATGTAAACCACAAACTACAGGTTCGCAATTCGCAATTTGTGAAAATTTCTTGTGTCTTGCCTGCTTTCAGTGTAGTCACAACAATTGTTCATAGGTTATTGTTCATAGTCCTTTTTCTTAGTAGTTCTTTTTAGTTGTTGTTTTTAGTTGTTGTTGTTGTTAGTTGTTGTTATTAGTTATTAGACCGTATTAGACTTGGGCCGGAATTCTGGTTCCGGTTCCGGAATCCGGCTTTTTGTAGCATTTCGGTTCCGAATCGGTTGGGATTTTTGAGCCGTTCCCGTTCCGCTTCCGGTTGGGCTGCTTTTTCCGGTTGGTTTCGGTTTTTCAAGGAACCCATTCAGGCCCAAGTATGGTCCGTACGCGAGTTATATTCCCGCAAAGTTCAAACAAACTGTTGTAGCTACCCTGGTATTAAAGCTAGTACAAAAGTTGGGGCCAAAATAATAGTCAAAATCGTTTTCCTCGCCCCCAAAAACCCCCATAAATCAGTTTCGCACGCGTCAGACTCCTCTAATTTGTCGAAGTGCCATCCGTTCCAGTCCCAGGCTCACTTTATATGACGCGTGCGAAATTCTACATTTTTCTCTCGAAGTAGTAACAGTTTGGCAAGTTCGAGGCATCTGACATGCTTGAATCTGATTCCTAGGGGTCTCGAGGAAAAGATTTTGACTATTATTTTTGCACCAACTTTTGCAGGGCCTATAACTCGCGTACTAGAAGTCAGTGGCAAAAACGGAATTCGGGTTCTGAATCCTCTCGAAGAGACGCTTCAAATAAGCTATAGCTCGTAGCAAAAAGCCACAGACCCCGCTGACCACTCCCTTGTTAGTTGTAGTTCTTATTGTTCTTATATCTATTATGTTATAAAAAATTAAAATTTTAATAATCAACGGTTAAATCGACATTTTCCGGGACCAAGTCGAATATAGATACTACCCTACTTGCTTATTTAATATCCATCATCAGCAAACATAAATATGCACAAAAAAATCAATTTTGGCACTGTCACCTGACATCAGGTGACAATGTCCCAGGCGAACGAATATGTAAAATCTATAAAATCATCTTCTCTCCTAACTCTCATCCGGAACTTAAAGGACTCTTTAAGATTTCGAATCACGCCAGAAGAACTCGTAGTCACAACTTTCAGATTACCCCCTTTCAAAGCTTTCATAACCGCCAACTGTATCATTCTTTTGCTTGTCGTGTTCCTCGTATTTGGAATAAGTTACCTTGTGATATTTTTTCGTCTCTGAACTATTTTAAATCCTCAATATATAAGCTCGATCTTGTAGCTCTGTCAATTTTAAATTAGTTTTTAATGTCATATATACACGTGTCTAATTGTAGTTGTGTTTGTATATCAATTATCTTTCTTGGTCTACGCTGTTCAATCTGTTTGCATTGTCACTTTTCCTTGTCGGATAAAGTATATATGTCGTAGCCGCTGACGAATTTCAGCCGCTAACGAATCATTCGTTAACGGCTAGCCGCTAAAGAATCATTCGTTAACGGCTAGCCGCTAAAGAATCATTCGTTAACGGCTAGCCGATTACGAATGAAATTTTTTCGCTAGCCGTGCACAATTTGTAATCGGCTTCTGTGAACATGGCTCGATTGAAATGAGCCTTTGATTTCAAACTATTTATACAAAACGAAAATCAGCAAACTAATCACAACAAGTGAAATAAAATTTATAACATTTAACACGTATAACATATTTAACATGTATAACATACCGATTGAAGAACAATTAGGTCGACTTGGCAGCGCTCATTTTGCTCCTTCGTTATCATCGGCTTCACAACAACTTCTTTTTTTGGCGTCCCCTTCTTTAATTCACATTCCGGGCAAAGTTTGACAAAAATTTCGAGTATTTCATTTGAGATCACGTGATAATCTCCTCGCAGTTCTTTCCACATCAGATCCCGGCCGGCGTGTCCTAGTCTTTTGTGAGTTGACGTTAAAACATCGAAGAGTTCCTCTTTCTTGACGACTCGTTTTGGTTGTTCGTTCTCTCCTTTGTCTCCATGATTGTAGAGTATCATTGATTGCTCAATACATTGAATCGAGTAACGACGTGCCCAATTCGCCTCTTCTGTCGTTCGCTTCCGTTTCTCGCTTTCAACTTCACTTGACATTGTTGTCAATCTGTTCACAATTTCATCGTATTTTTACGTCGTTAGTATATGCGTTCGCTTTTTCAAAACTTGATACGCATCAAGTTGGTTGAGAAATTAATTCATCCTGAAAAAACAAATGATTCTGTATAATAAAACCAAAGAATCATAAAAAAAGCAGAAAGAAATTAATCCGAAATCACTGATAACAATGGGGTGGACTCCACCCGGAGGACCCAATTTCAGCAAAAGGGCATTTTGACAACTTTAAATAGCTCGCTACAAAATCAATCTTTTTTTTGCGTAAAAAATTTGAAACCAAAAACACGGTAAATTCATTTGAATCTAGCCATGTTCGCAGAAGCCGATTACAAAGATTTCGTACAAATCTAGTGAAAAAATTTCATTTGTAATCGGCTAGCGAAAAATTTCATTCGTTAGCGGCTAGCCGATTACGAATCATTCGTTAGCGGCTAGCCGATTACGAATCATTCGTTAGCGGCTAGCCGATTACGAATCATTCGTTAGCGGCTAGCCGATTACGAATCATTCGTAAACGGCTAGCGAAAAATTTCATTCGTTAGCGGCTAGCCGTTAACGAATGATTCGTTAGCGGCTGAAATTCGTCAGCGGCTACGACATATATATGTCGTAGCCGCTAACGAAATTCAGCCGCTAACGAATGAAATTTTTCGCTAGCCGTTTACGAATGATTCGTTAACGGCTAGCCGATTACGAATGAAATTTTTTCACTAGATGTGTACGAAATCTTTGTACCCTAAAGTCGCGAGTATAAGTTCTGTAATTTACATTTAAAGGGCTCTGATGGAAAATTTTCTTCTTTCTTTAATTTTTATTGTTTTTTTGTTTTTTTTTCATTTTTTATTTTACTAACTTTTTTTTCATTTTAGATACGATGAGGAGAAAGTCGTACACCGCCGAAACGAAGCTCGAAGCGGTCAAATTTGCGAGAAAATTTGGAACGAACGCGGCTGCGATCGAATTTGAAGTCGCCGAACAGATGATTAACCGCTGGAAACAAGCTGAGCCGGCACTGATGACTTCACCAAAAAATAATCGAGCTTTCCGAGGATTGAGGGCAAAATGGCCGGATGTGGAGAAAGATCTGAAGGCATGGGTTCTGGAGAGGCGATTCACCGATGCTCATTTTCAAGCGCAAGACTCTTCCTAAAGGAATTTTTCCCGGTGTGATCATCAAAGCTAATCCGACAGGGTGGATGAGTTCGGACTTGATCAAGGAGTGGATCGATGAAATTTGGTTGCGAAGAGCAAATCCGGTGGCCAAATCCGAAGAATCAGTGCTCGTGTTGGACTCAGCTCGCTGTTACTTAACCGATAATGTCAAGGCTGAAATTCAGCAACACTCGAAGCTGGCTGTGATTCCAGGAGGGCTAACTCGATTTCTACAACCGCTTGACATCAGCGTCAATAAGCCATTCTGAAATTGGGTCAATATGTTGCGGTCAATATGTCAATATGTTGCGAACGCGTATCAAATTCTGAAAAAGCGAACGCATATACTAACGACGAAAAAATACGATGAAATTGTGAACATATTGACAACAATGTCATAACAACAATGTTATAAATGTTAAATGTTATAAATTTTATTTCACTCGTTGTGATTAGTTTGCTGATTTGCGTTTTGCATAAATAGTTTGAAATCAAAGACTAATTTGAATTGAGCCATGTTCGCAGAAGCCGATTACAAATCGTGCACGGCTAGCAAAAAAATTTCATTCGTAATCGGCTAGCCGATTACGAATGATTCGTCAGCGGCTAGCCGTTAACGAATGATTCGTCAGCGGCTAGCCGTTAACGAATGATTCGTTAGCGGCTGAATTTCGTTAGCGGCTACGACATATATATATGTGCCAGACAGCATCAGGTGACAATGTCGTCAACGTGTTAATAAAACCTATTTTAATGATAAAATTAAAAAAAATGGCTTACAAAAAGTCAAAAAACAAAATTACAGATTAATTCGTTAAGCGGTTTTCCTCATTTTTCAATATTTTTAAAAATACCAACTACCAAATCATTCTAAAATATAAAAATTAATTTAAAATGGAAAGGATAAACAATTTATATTAAAAGAAATTGGGTATTTGGTAGTTTAAGACCTCAATAATAATATCGTTCAATAGTAAAATTTCACTATCAAAATTATTTTCCATTTAAAAGCTATTGATTTCAGCGAAAGTTTACTGAACTTTTTTTATGGGAATATCTTAAATTTCTTAAATTAATAAAAGTTTTTTTTAGTTTAATTCAAGTTCTATTAAATGGAAAAAAGATTATTTAAAAATATGGATTCAGTAAAAAGTTCCAGACCAGTTAAGGAGGGTTAAAAACGTCATTTTTACTCCTTGTTGGCCTTTCTTGTTGTAGAGTTACTATTTAGGTAATTTTCTTCATCATAAGATGAAGAAAATTGCTTTATATATAGTAGATATTGATGAATCAATATTCATCAATATCTACTATATATAAAGCAGAAGAGACCTCGGTCCGTCTGTTCGTCTGTCCGTCTGTCCGTCTGTCCGTCTGTTCGTCTGTCCGTCTGTTCGTCTGTCCGTCTGTTCGCCTGTCTGTCCGTCTGTCTGCCTGTCTGCCTGCCTGTCCGTCTGTCTGTCTGTCCGTCCGTCTATCTGTATGTCTGTCCGTCTGTCTGTTCGTCTGTCCGTCTGTTCGTCTGTCTGTCCGTCTGTCTGTCCGTCTGTCTGTCTGTCCCTCTGTCTGCCTGTCCGTCGGTCTGTCTGTATGTCTGTCCGTCCGTCTGTCTGTCTGTATGTCCGTCCGTCTATCTGTATGTCCGTCTGTCCGTCTATCTGTCTGTCTGTTCGTCTGTCCGTCTATCTGTCTGTTCGTCTGTCCCTCTGTCTGCCTGTCCGTCGGTCTGTTCGTCTGTCCGTCTTTCTGTCTGTATGTCTGTCGGTCCGTCTGTCTGCCTGTCTATCCGTCTGTCCGTCTGTTCGCCTCTCTGTCCGTCTGTTCGTCTGTCCGTCCATTGGCCAAAGGGGGGCGGGGCTTAGATTGCTCAGGCTTAGGCGTAGATTTAAGCATTCTTTTGCTTGATCCATGCAAACGTTAGTGAGCGCCTTTCGCTGGTTCATCAATACTCATCATGAGAACTGAACTGAATGACTCGTCCCAAACGGTTGCCCCACTTCTAGCCATCCCCTTGCTGATGCTCAACCAATAACTTACCAAAAAGTAGCTTGCATCCGTTTGTTGCCAGGCTTTCGGCGTCGTCTTACCACCGATCACTGTTAATGCCAAAACGGCAAATCCCTGAAATATGTTTCTCTAGCTTTTTAACCTAAAGAAGTTTGTCTGGCAATATCTGGCAATATATTAACAATATAAATTAACCAATTAATCAATCAATTAACATATCCATACGAACAATTCAATAAGTCTGTCTCTAGATTAGATTTAAGCATGCTTTTGCTGCTTCTTTAGCAACTACATTTGCAAATAACTACTGTGGATTATCCATGTTAGTCAGTTTTACCAAATCAAGTTTAAAATCAAGTAAAACAACCTTATTTGCTAGCAAAGCGGCTCGATGTTCGTGAGTGCCCAGCATTCCATAAATGTCCAGTATTGAAGGAAATGGGCCAGGGCCTGAAAATAGACTTGGATATAATGCTGTAGCTTTAAGTACTGTAGCTTTAAGTACTGTAGCTTTAAGTACTGTAGCTTACCCTTAAATTACCTGGCGGTTTATAAACGATTCCCTCAATCCCTTCTTCGACAACGATTCGCTCTAAGCTCGAGTTCCTTAGCACTCGCCAAATGCTCTTTTCAGCAATTACCTGAAGTTTAGGTTTTCTTTGAATTCTCTTTAATCTCTTTAATCTCTAAAAGATTATAAACTAACCTTTCCAGGCACATAAAAGTGCCTCTCTTGCACAAGAATCTTGTACTCTAACTTCTCAGGCATTGGCATTAGTGAGAGCTTTGTAGCGAATCTTGCTGTACCCTCATGGTAAAGTGAAGAAAATAAACCCATTTTGTCGCGACCTGAACTTGAATTTTCTTTGACAAAACTCTAGAACGTTTGTAGTTCTCAACTTCTGATCATGCAAAGATTTCCAGTTAGATAAATACCATAGCTTTAAGTACTGTAGCTTCTCCTTAAATGATTGATTCTAAATATTGATACAAGTCTGACAAATCTAGCGCCAGAACGAAAAGATCTATTAGTATCAATTTTTATGTCAATTTTATCTTGAAACTGATTTTTTAGCGTTTAATATCAGATTCTTTAATCGATTATTAGTCGAATGAAGAAGCAATATACAAAAATGATAAACTCTAATCGATTTGCCGATCTTTTCCAATCGAAAACCTCTTTTATTTGAGTTAAAAGTTTGGGAATCTGAAATGCTTTGCGTAAAACCCATCTTTTCCACTACCAAATTCGGGTTTTTGATTTTCCTCTAGCTCTTCAGCTCTAGTTTAGTTTTTTGATTCTCCTCTAGCTCTTCTAGCATTAAAATCTGTTCTTAACAATATTTGGTTTAACAACAACAATACAAACAATAACAAATTACAAATAGTTTCTTTAAAATCGAAAAAAGGAAAGAAAATTGCGAGACGAGGAGTCGAACCCGAGGAAGGAATAGAGAGCCGGCTTTGTATCCAAACACCTTATCCACTAAGCCATCTGCCCATGCTTGCTCTGGCGGTGGCAAGCTGGCATAATTTCCCTGTGAGCCGGCTTTCCCGGTTTATCTTTTACTTTCTTTTTTTAACCTTTTTACCCTACTTTTCAATAGAGTTTCCATTAAACTTTCTTATATTTTCAAGTTGTTAACTAATAAATTCAATTTTTTACCTGTATAGTGCCCGTGAACAGCCACCGCTTTTCCCACATCAATCTCCCCATTTTTGTCCGAATGAAAACGAGCATGCGAGCGGAAAAGATTCTTGTGATGAAGTCTAAAATTTAAATATTTAATCTCAAAAACTTTTCTGACTTTAAAGTGATAAAATAATCCGTATTCGGTTGAAGATTTTGAATCCTAAATTCATCTAAATCCTCATCGAACATCGAAGTCTCCGGTAATGCAATAATTTCAACCATTTTACCAAAAAAAAACAAATAAGAATCGTTCAATTTTTGAATAAAACAGATAATTTTTGTGATTTGGCGTAAAGAGAGAAAAAGAAAACGAAGAGAAAACGATAAGAAAATCGATTTTGTTCTCTCTTTTTGGAGCTGGATGCAGGCACAGTTTTTCTTTGATTGGATTGACCTCTGGGAATGTTTTAAACGAAAGGTATGAAGTTTTAATGGGAAGCAAAACGCAAACACCATTCAGCAACGGGGAATCCAATACTCTATTTACCGTATTTACTCTATTAGTACTAAGCAATACTATTTTTTGACGACGGCGATTTTTTTACGACGGTGACGGTTTAGATTTCAGCAAGATTAGAGGTGCAATACTATGTTTTTGACGAAACAAAACAAATACGTACCCTAAAGTCTCGAGTATAAGTTCTGCCTTAATTTACATTCGCTTTAATTGCTTTGAATTTCTTTTTGTTCGGTTTTTATACATTTTTATTGTTATATAAACTTTTATTATTGTTCTTGGAGCGCGGGATACTACAGGGTGACAGCCTATCACCATTGCTATTTGTTATGTGCATGGATACATCCGATAGTGTTGAAGAAGACGCTGGAAAGCATCTCTTTCGACCGTCGACGTGGACTTTGGCCGGATGAAGAGGCCAGGGAGGGATCCATAAGACTGAGCACTGGAGAGGAGCAGGGCGGACGAGCCGAGCCACGCCCGGAGCAACAAATAACAGCATAAAATTGCTATAACCCTCAATAAATTTACTTCTATTATCGTTCTTAAAAAGCAAAAAAGTTATGCTGCAGTGGATTCGAACCCTCGACACACCGCACCGGAGACAGCCGTCAATTTGCATGCGAAAACCAAACAGAACTTATACTCGCGACTTTAGGGTACTTACTATTAGGTTGATGTATAAGTGTTTTTGTTCCTTTTCGTCTGCCGTTTCAAGCCAACAAATGCACCAATTAAACTACGGTTGATTTCATTAGAAAAACCAATTATTTTTCTGCAAAATAACATTAAAACGGGTTTAAAAATATTTAATGCCTGGATTTTCTTGAGAGTATGAAGTCGGGTAGTCAAAAAGGGCTAACTCGATGCGGTTTAGATGCGGTTTAGACACCTTAGCTAAAGAAAACCTATCTTCGTGTCAATAGATAAAAGATAGAGAAAAAAAACGTTTGATATTTCGCCAAAATTTCAGAGAAATTCATTCAGCCAATTTTTCCGTAGAGTTTTTTATAGATTTTTACGACAAAAGGCGTTTTTCACTCTCGAATTTGCTTGAAAGTGAACCGAAATTCATTTAAAAAGATGCAAATTGAACAAAAAAACACTTTTTTTATAGAGCAAACTATAGATTAATTCGTGAATTTGTTACTTTTTAACAGAAGTACGAAAAAAACGAAAAGACTTATGCATCAACCTATTATTGGGTTGGGGAGAATGAGTCGGCGCCAAACTTTAAAGGGACTTTTTGCACACATAAAGCCTTCTTTAAACATACGTTTGGTTTCATCAAAAGGATCCACTATTTCTCTACAAAATCACTTTTGAGAGATTCCACAAAGCTTTTCTTTCGTGGAGTTTATGAACTTCCAAACGCAGCTGGCTAAAATGGCAAAGAGTCCGACTCATCATTTGAACAGTTTCTTTCACATAAACCTTCTTTGGTGTTTATATAAAAAAAGATAGAGCACATTCAATTACTTAAGTTGCCAAATTTGCAGGAAGATCCCACCAATGGTTTTTTCTAGATCACAGTTTGTAGTTTTTGTGAAAAATGGCTTTTTCTTGAGCGGAGGCGCTGTTTGAATTTTCTTTTAAATGTCATTTTGTAGAGAATTAGTTAACCATTCTACTCATATCAAACGCATATTATTTGACGAAGTCGAATAGAAGTTTTAGACATTTTTTTCATTTTCGGCGCCGACTCATTCTCCCCAACCCAATAAATCAATTAAATCAATCAATTAAATCAATTAATCAATGAAATCAATCAATTAAATCAATTAATCAATTAAACTTCATGTACAGGATGCAGAAATTCGCAAATTCGCAAAAAAGAAAAATTTAGGAGCAGAAATTCGATGATCTTTTGTTAATTTTCAAGAAATTTTTATAGATACCTTAAAAATCATTTAACAAATATTGAACCTTATAAAAATATAGCATTAGTCTTTAACGTGGCCTCCTTTAACTTCAGTCCATTTTCGTAATCAGTTCGGAAAGTCATCCATGGCCTTTTTGATGACCCAATGTCGTCCCAAGCTACAGTACTGGACAATGAAATATCATATTTGAAAAACGATCGTCACTTTCGCGCCTCTGTAACTCCCTTGTCTTTGAGTTTAAACTATTAGTGTTATACATTTTCTGAAAGCTCTTTTCAAGGGCTACACAATGGTAATATTAATATTTAGAAATATGATATTTTTTTGACGCATTTCAGCGCGCACAAGATGGGATACTCAAAATTGTTGATTTTCAAAGCCGTTTTTCTTTATGATAGAGTGCTGGAATCGCTCTGAAACTATGATTTTCGGAATCTACGCAAAAATTTACCTTAGAATCATCAAAATTTGTAAAATTGTATCACAGTTTCATAGCGAAAAAAACCACATTTGCGAAATTCTCACTTCTTGAGCGGTTCTTCACAAAAATACGGTTCCAATACGGTTCCAATACGGTTCCAATACGGTTCCAATACGGTTCCAATACGGTTCCAATACGGTTCCAATACGGTTCCAATACGGTTCCAATACGGTTCCAATACGGTTCCAATACGGTTCCAATACGGTTCCAATACGGTTCCAATACGGTTCCAATACGGTTCCAATACGGTTCCAATACGTTTCCGATTATGTTGGTTCCAATACGGTTCCAATACGGTTCCAATACGGTTCCAATACGGCTCCAATACGGTTCCAATACGGCTCCAATACGGTTCCAATACGGCTCCAATACGGCTCCAATACGGTTCCAATACGGCTCCAATACGGCTCCAATACGGTTCCAATACGGCTCCAATACGGTTCCAATACGGTTCCAATACGTTTCCGATTATGTTGGTTCCAATACGGTTCCAATACGGCTCCAATACGGTTCCAATACGGCTCCAATACGGCTCCAATACGGTTCCAATACGGCTCCAATACGGTTCCAATACGGCTCCAATACGGCTCCAATACGGTTCCAATACGGCTCCAATACGGCTCCAATACGGTTCCAATACGGCTCCAATACGGTTCCAATACGGTTCCAATATCCAATCTAAACAACCTTTTGATGAGGATGTTTAAAGGTCGTTACAGCAGTTTTTTTGCTGTTGAGATTTGGGTGCCCTTCGTAGAATCGCTTGAAAATCTTTCGTTTTTGAGATATAAAGTTTTTTTGTGGCTTGTTTTCAAGAAAAAACTCAGTTCTATCAAATGGTAACAGCAGTTTTTGGAAAAAAATTTCATTCTGCAAAGTTTAAGTCAACTTTCGCAAAAATCTTCAGCGACCAGACCGGGATAGAAAAAATTCTCGTCAAAAAGTTATTGAGAGTTGAAATCTTTTTATGAAAATGGCTATATTGGGGTGAAACTACCTAAATTTTTAGAATCCGGCGTTAGTTTTTTGAAATTCACGGGGTTTTGAAGCCAAAAAAATTACTGCTTACAGAAAAAGTGTCAGAACTTTTGGCCGCACCCTGTAGATAACAACAAACATAAAAAGTAACAATTATAGATCAAAAACTGGAACATCCGAATCATCAAAAACAATGTTTCCAACAAAATCACTGTGCAAACTTTTTCCGAGAACTTTCTTTTCAACTTCATAGATAATACCTTTAGATAATTACCTTTTACGAGGCTTTTCCCGAGAAAATATTCGTACTTTCATTTTACAATGTCAATAACTACATTTTAGCAACATTTTATTTGAAAAAGCAAAAAAATTCGATTGAAAATTTGGTTTTAAAAATTCAGTTGTAGATTCGATTGAAAATTCGATTAAAAATTCGTTAAGTTTCGTAAAAAACTCGTTAAAGTTAACAAATTTATACAGAAGAATTTCCAATTGAAAATTTTGAGAAAAAAAATCACAGAAAATAATAAAAATTCAGCTTTTTGCTGGGAATTTCTGAAGAAAATATCTGGAGAGACTCTTTTTAATTAAAAAAAGTAAAGCTGATTACAATATTTCTTACTTTATTCAATGAAATCAAAGAGATTTTAGTGAAAAAGAGCTAAAAGTAGACAAGTATTGGATTGGTGAATTGAAAGTTTAGCAAATCATCAAAGCAAAAAGCCTCTTCTATTGAGTTGGTGAATTGAAAACTGCCGGCTATTGTCATAAGTGACAGTTTGAGCACTTTCTTCAAAAGAAACCCATTTTGGTGTCAATGGAAAAGTTGTAGAGAATCAAAAATCAAGCTTATATCCAAATTTTCAGAACGATTCAAAAACTGGTTTTCAAGAAATGCCAAATTTACGAATTTTCACAAAACTTGCAACAAACTTGCAACAAAACTTGCATTTTAAGCGAAACTACTAAGTGTATCTTTTTGAAAATTTGGCTATAAGCCTAATTTTTGATTCTCTACAACTTTTCTATTGACACCAAAATGGGTTTCTTTTGAAGAAAGTGCTCAAAATAGGACATTCCCGTCCTCCATTTTTGAGTCTCACACTTGTCTCCTTCTTAGTAGGATTTTGGCAGCGCGCATCGAAACTTGGGGCTTGGGTGCCCCAAGTTGACATGCGTCGTGGGTCATTGAGGTCATGGGTGCCCCATGACCTCAATGACCCCCAGAACTGGCAGCGCGCCTCAATCAGTGCCGCTCATCTCTCACGATACGAAAGGAAATCCTTCCTTCCTCGATGTGTGACAGGCGATGAGAAATGGGTTTTATCTGTGAACTTTCGGAGGAAGCGGTAATGGGTGGGGCCAGGCGAGAAACCCGAAAGTAACCTCAAGCCCGATTTGCACCAGAAGAAGTTTATGCTCTGCGTTTTCTGGGATATGGAGGGTGTGGTGTACTGGGAGTTGCTGGATAGCAAGACGACCGTTAATGCAATCAAATGCAGTAGACAGTTGGGAAAGGTAAATGAATCCCTGAAGAAGAATAGGCCCTTCAAGTCAAAGATCGTTCTCATCCACGACAACGCGCGCCCTCATATTGCAAAACTGACTCGCTCTAAAATAAACAGCCTTGGTTGGGAACTTTTGGCGGATTCCCCATACAGCCTCGCCCCTTTTGATTACTATTTATTCCGGAACATGAGTAATGAGCTTGCGGGAGAACACTTCGATTCGGAAGAAGCAGTCAAAAATTGGCTCGAAAAGTTTTTCGATTCAAAACGAAAATCCTACTAAGAAAGAGGAATCCGCAAATTGCCTGTAAAATGGGCAGAAGTCGTCAATAATAATGGAAACTATTTGGAATGAATTGATGGCTTTATGTTGAATAAATTTTAGTTCAAAGTCCCGCAGTTTTCAATTCACCAACCCAATAACTTTATTTTTCTTTAAAGAACAGAATTTGTTTCACGAAACGTCCCAAATCATTTCTTTAAGTCTTCTCATTTTCCAAATCGACTTGAAATGAGAGTTTTGTGAATCCAGCTTCAAATTCCTTTTCCAAAACCGTTCGATCTTTGTCATTTCTTTTTCTCATATCTTCATCGCTTCGTGGCTGGCTATTCAGCGAGCGTTGCTGATATTTGATCTGAAATTTATAATTACAGTGGCGGAAAAAAAAGTATTGAGCCCCCCCCAGACTGTTTTTAATTACAATGCGGGGGCTCAATACAATTACAATGCGGGGCTTTTCTACCACTGTATGTAACATTTTCAAAAGTTGTTAAAATGAACAATTTAGCTTTTCGATATTCTTTGAACTAAGATCAAAAAAACCTTATTTCAGCATGATTTTTGAAAATCTATATTTCAAGAATGTTTAAACACTAGTAAAGAAGAATTCAACTTTCCAAAACTGTTTGATGATTTTAATGACTAGAAAATTGGAATAGTAGCTGATTGTAAGCAACAATGGAAGCATATAAGCAGTTGTAAGCTTTTAAAGTAAATAAAGTAGCTTTTAAAGTATGCGAACTTTGGCAAAAGTTAGTGATTTAGCTTTTCGATATTCTTTGAACTAAGAGTTTTATGATCGAAGAACCTGGTCGCGTCCGTTTCCTTCCTATTTGCGTTGCTATTTTGCAATTATTCGCGTCGCATTTTTCGTCCTTTTGCTCCCTTCCCGAAATTATTTTTTTTTTTGGTCTGCGGGTTTTTTGGCTTCTTTCTGGGGGGACTTTGTTGTTTCATTTTTGATGCGCATGCTGTTTTTGTAATGGGTATTGTTGCATTTCAGCAATAGCAACGTTACTTTACTAAGAAACAGTAACGTTATAAATTCACTTTACTTTATGCTACCCTTCAGATTTTAAATCCTGTTTAACTGGTTTAACTAAATAACTAGTTTAACATTGTAGAGAGACTGATTTTACTAACATTTGTGTCACCAACGACGTAGTATCAATTCGATCTGTACTCTTCTCAAGAGTATTAATCTATTGTTGGATACTACGTGTTCTTGTTACGTTGTAAGCGCTTTTGGGGGAAACCCTTTTAACCTTTTGTGCTATTCGGCCATTCTTAACCCATTCGAAACTTCTGCAGCGAATAATCGCTGCAGCAAAAACTCAGGAACGGACCGCTGCAGCGATTATTCGCTGCAGCGCTAATTGAGCTATTTTCATTCAATTAATTGGTTTTTTTTGCTGTTTTTCAGCATTGCATGTATATTCCAATTGTAGCAGATCCACAAATTACGTGGGCAAAGAAGATGTTTTATATTTACCCGAAATCAATGCAGTCTCTGGTTTTGCATTGAAATGTTCCATAATAGCTCTAATCTTATAAAGCCGATCTCCCGCAGGATCCAGTTCATTATCACAAAAACGCAGGTTTCGAAGAATAGATTCAAATTTTGCTCTTGACATAATGTGGGACATGTGGGAAAATCCTCCTAATCCAGGCCTGCTACTCCAGTAGTCACGATACAGAGCCAGGAAGAGCTTGCATCGAAATCCTGCCAGTTTTTTTTTTTCCTTTTTCCATGTTTATTAGATTCGCCTACTAACATGCTGATTAATTTGTCGTCGATAAAATAAGAATAATATAGGATTTTGAAAAGTATTGAAGTCAAATCCAAATCGTTCTTCATCAAAAATAAATGGTGTAGGAGACTCTCTTGCATCTTTCCAACCATAAATAAACTGCTTCGGAGTCAAAAATCTCAAAAAAGGGCTTGGTCCGTAGACGAAAAAAAAGAAAAAACGCTGCGGTTTCGAATGGGTTAAGCAGAATCATCCTCGTTGATAAGGTTAAAGCACCCCAAACTACCACTTTTATTTTAAAAATCTGTATTTCAAGAACGAATCGACCTTATTGAAAACGGTTCGGATTAAAGTCGACCCTCGATAGTAAATCATTGAAGGGATTCTCCAAAAATGATTTACTATCGAGAGTTTTGCCTAATCAGTCCTAAAAACATCAAAAACATAAAAAAAAAACAAAAAAAAACTGAAATTGATCTGAAAATTGAAATTTGATTAGAAATTTGATCTGAAATTGATCTGAAATTGGTTTGGAAATTGAAATTTGATTACTATATCTACATCATTTTCTACAGTAACCCACGTTCAATATCCTTAAGAATCCGTGCTTTAAACAATCATCCGCTGTCGGCCTTTTCATCATATCAGGCTCGAGCATCATTTTGATCAAGTCTCGAAAATCTTCGCCTAAATTTGAATCATTTACTGCAACTGAATCATTTACTGCAAATCTCGCTAACAACAAGAGAAATCGGTTGTCTCAATGTGACTTAAGTTCCTAAATTAAAGCAACTGTTCACCTGTCAATGGTCCAACAGTGTTTAAGTTTTTCGTTTTGCAGTAATCTTCGAGAATCGATGTCAGCTTCTCTTCGCAAGGGCTTTCAGGCACTGGCCGATCAAACCTAAACTTTTCCGATCTTTACTTTACAGGTACTTTGGAATAAAACAAGTACTTTACAAGTAAAACAAATACTTTACAAGTAAAACAAGTACTTTACAAGTAAAACAAATACTTTACAAGTAAAACAAGTACTTTACAAGTAAAACAAGTACTTTACAAGTAAAACAAGTACTTTACAAGTAAAACAAATACTTTACAAGTAAAACAAGTACTTTACAAGTAAAACAAGTACTTTACAAGTAAAACAAGTACTTTACAAGTAAAACAAATACTTTACAAGTAAAACAAATACTTTACAAGTAAAACAAATACTTTACAAGTAAAACAAGTACTTTACAAGTAAAACAAGTACTTTACAAGTAAAACAAGTACTTTACAAGTAAAACAAGTACTTTACAAGTACCACATTTATAACTTTAGTCAAGTTCATCAATTTTACTATAAAACCCACGCTGATTTGTACTGATCAAGGGGTACACCGAGAACTTGAAAGATTTGATCTTTTACTACATTTTCAGCTCCTCGTTTTCGGATCTAAAAGTCTCATTTTAAACAATTTGCTTATGAAATTAGATTAGCTTTTTAAGCCTTTATAAAATCTCACCTTCATCTCAATAGTTTTATCATCACCAGTTGGCATGAAAAGCTTTAAATCAAACATCTCGAGAGCGACCAATGCCGTGGCCCAAATATCAACTTTTGTATTATACCGTGCCTTCATCAGAACTTCGATTGGTTTGTAGATAAATGGAGTCTCAACGTTGGTTGAATGATCAAGATTTGGATTGATTTCTCTGAAAATCAAAGCTCTATTCTCTCTATCATTCTCTCTATTCTCTCTATCAAAGCCGAGTTCAATCGCCAGTTGTTTCTGGCTAAGCATTGTACTTTTGAACAGTCTTAAAGTCTTAAAGATCTTAAAGATCGTAGTCTTAAAGATAAGAAATGAAAGAACTTAAAAGATAAAAGATAAGCGTCTCAAAGATGCAAGACAGCAAATCTTCGAAATCTTCAAAACTTAGATTACCTTGATAGGCCGAAATCGAGTAATTTTATCTGGAAATCTATTTGATTCATCCCAATGTTCCTTGGTGTGACGTCCTGAATAGAAAAATGTTAAAAAAGAAATATTAGAATATTAATACTGAAATATTAGCAATATTTCAGTATCAGAAATGGTAAAGAACAACTTTCTAGGTCAAGTAGACGTTCTAAAACTTGTCTCAGATTGCTGTAACCTGTCGTAACGGTAACTGTTGGTAATGGTAACTGTTGGTAATGGCAACTGGATCACTCTTTAGAAGCCAGAGATCCGTTTAATAGCCAGAGATCCGTTTTTTCGATACACTCACAAACAACCGTACTCTGTGCATGATTCCTCGTTGATGCAGATAGTCTAATGCTCGCAATAGTTGAGTGAGCAGTGCTCCCAAATGTCTGATGTCGACATTTTTTACAGCATTTGCTTTGCGATGTCTAAAAGTTATCGATTTTCTATTATGGTAAGAAAGTTCGTAGAAAAAGATCGTGATTTCTCGAAAGCTAAAGGATATAAATGCATATGAAATGGCTAAATGTTCAACAAAGCATTTATTCTGATTCAAATCAAAACAAAGATGATCAAATCAATCTAAATCTCTTCCATTATTTTCAATAACCTTTTCCCATTTGGCCCTTTTGGCATTTTTGCCCTTATCATAAAAGGCTATCAGTCACTTTTTGATGTCATCTTGCTGCCCAACCAGCTGCCCAACCTGCTGCCCAACCTCCTGCCCAACCTGCTGCCCAACCTGCTGCCCAACCTGCTGCCCAACCTGCTGCCCAACCTGCTGCCCAACCTGCTGCCCAACCTCCTGCCCAACCTCCTGCCCAACCTGCTGCCCAACCAGCTGCCCAACCTGCTGCCCAACCAGCTGCTCATCGATCGGAATAAATTATAATCACTTAGGGCAAGGCTATATGAGGAATTGGCCATCACTTCTCAACCAAAGCTCTTCAAATTCTACATCAAAGAAACATGAGGGCAAAGGAAGATGATTTTTCTCTTTTTGGTCTGTCAAAGCTGTGGATATTTATATTTTGTGGATACAAAGCAAAGCCGTGAATAGTTTTTCGAGCTAATCGGTTTATTTAGCAATTAAGTGTTGGATGTTGGCTTACTATTCAGCAACTTCCAATAAACCACTCCTTCCATATCTCAGAAAGCATAAACTCCGATGCGATGGCTCCAATCCGATCCTTCCATATCCGATAGCACAAAATTCTTCTGCAATTCAGGTTGGTTCGAGCTTCAGGTGCCACCAATTGACGTTTTCTTTGAAAGTTGACAGTAAGAACTTCCATAATACAGAGAGAAAAGAATATGGCTCATAAAGATGAGCAGCTGGGCATCAATATCCGGTTCAATTTCTGGTCACGGTATGGGTATTCAACTCCCCAATTTTGATGTAAACCCAAGAGCGTATAGATGTCTGACTATTGGTCAACCTTTAGATGCTTTGCTAAAGTATAGAGTAAGCCGATTGTCGTTTTGAAGAACTGCCAGAAGATCATCATCTTTTAACTTTATCTCGGCTTTCCTCGCTGCTCGAGAATAAGAATAATCACCAGATCGAACTATCGTTTTGTGTTCGGTAATAGACCTCATCTACAACCCGAACATTGGCCTGATATAGGCTTAGGTTTAGGATTTATCGAGATCTAAAGATCAGGTGGAAAGTAAACGAATTTCATTCGAGTTTAAGTTTGAGCTCATTATCCTTCAGAATTTCTGAAAGAACTCATACAAAAGTACATGTCGAACACCGTACAGTACAACAGTACAACGTACAGTACAACAGTACAACGTACAGTACAACAGTACAACGTACAGTACAACAGTACAACGTACAGTACAACAGTACAACGTACAGTACAACAGTACAACGTACAGTACAACAGTACAACGTACAGTACAACAGTACAGTACAACGTACAGTACAACGACCGGATGATAGCTTTCAATGCAAAGAATAAAAGCTGGAAAGAAAATAATGAATAAAGATAGAACATGAAGATATTTTGTGTAGTAATAGGAGCACTTTGGTGTAAACAATTCCCATAGCGTTCTGGTTTCGCTCGCTTTCGGTTCAGGTTTTGCTTTTCCAATCCATTATCTTTTCAATAGTTAAAATATAATACCCACTTTTCATCACCAGAACATGTGGAATAAAAGAATATTGGTTGTCTCTTAAAAGAAGTCATCGAGATTGAGAGACATTACAGTTACAGACATTACAGTCAGAGTATGGGGAACTCAGAGCCCAAATTTTGAGGCTAACATTGAATTGAAGTGATGTTTAATTGGTTTGAAGTCCGAAAAGGTCAGAAGGTCAGGTCAGAGTTGTTCTCCCAGAAGTTTTTGATTGTTTGTTATCGATTTATCAAAGATTGAGCTGTTTTATCGAAATCACTGAAAAAAATCGCTGACCTCGGCTCATCTTCCAAAGAAAAATCATATTTATTGAAACAATGATATCATTTCTATACCATTTTATACAATTCAGCTTTGCCCATAAATGTATAAGCATACTATTCAGCCTTGCCCTCTTCATAAACCACATTGACTGAAACTTTTTTCAGTAAAGAAGGAAATGACATGTTGAAGATCAGCTGTTGAAGATCAGCTGTTGAAGATCAGCTGTTGAAGATCAGCTGTTGAAGATCAGCTGTTGAAGATCAGCTGTTGAAGATCAGCTGTTGAAGATCAGCTGTTGAAGATCAGCTGTTGAAGATCAGCTGTTGAAGATCAGCTGTTGAAGATCAGCTGTTGAAGATCAGCTGTTGAAGATCAGCTGTTGAAGATCAGCTCTTGAGCCTCCAAAGATCAAGTGGAAAGTAAACGAATTTCATTTCATTTGATTCCATTTCATTTTCAGCGATCAATAGAAGAGAAGTGAAGTAAACAAATGCCTTTATCAGCTATTTTCTCTGATGTTAAGAGAAAGAGAAATCAGAGACAAAAAATTCTATGAACTTTCTTGCCAACCTAATATTTTAGTTTAGATAAATTACCAACTCATAGTATTTTTCCAGTGTGTGATCCATTCGCTCGGAGACGAGCCAAATGGCTTCAAGTTTCTCCTTTCCTCCTTCATTCTCCAATTTGATTTTCTCGGGAAAAGCCTCGTAAAAGGTAACGATCTAAAGGTTTTATCTATTAAGTTGGAAAGAAAGTTTTCGGAAAAAGTTTGACTGGAATTTCTTAAAAACAAAACCACTAATTCAAGAACATTTTGTACTATTCTTTACAAGTTGACTCTAAGAAATTACTGGTAAAAAAATGAGTGCAGCTTTCTTTTAAAATTTTAGAGATTTTTGAAAGATTATTTTCTAAGATTAAATTCAACTCACTCTCTAAGATTAAATTCAACTCCAGAAAAACGATTTCTTATAAGGTAAAGCCAGCCAGCAAGCCAGCCAGTCAGTCATGCTTCATTTATGAATTTCAAAGTCTCTTGAAAATTGTGGAAAGTCCTAGAAGAACCCGTAGTCATCCTTATCAAATTTCGCTCGGTTCTCATCCCCACCACCTTTCCCTTTATCATTCTTTCGCGAACCGTATTAGTAGGGTTTGGAATAAGCTCCCGCCTGGTATCTTCTCGTCTGTAGGAAAATTCAAAGTATCTGTAAACGAATTAGATCTAATTGCCATGTCAAATCTGCCTTATATTTAATCTTTTTGTACCTGTTTTTCCTGACTATCGTCTTACTGTATCTCTAGGTTTCTTTCTTTTTTGTGAAAGTATTGTAGCAATTATATGCGGTTATGATTATCTGATTCGCTTCTATTCGCCCTCCTGAATAAAGCATATATATATATATTTATGCTGGCTTTTTCTATTTGTGACCAAGAAATGTTTTTACAGAGAAGCTGTATTTCAAAAAATCACTTTTTTGGTGTCATCTTGGCACTGAGTGTTTGCCAAAATAGGTGATTTTGAAAAGTTAAAGCATTAGATAAAATTTGCCTTTATCACATCTTTTCTCTATTTTAAGTACTTCATTTTAGGTTTTGAATGGGGTCCATTGCCTATCCATTAACCCATTAAAAACTTGTCTAAAGGCTGGCCACTTAAAAAGTGATCAAGTCATTTCAGCTAAAGAAATCCCTTATTTTTTACCTGAACCGCATTCTGATTCTTTTTGTTAAAAACTTTTAATCTAGTCAAGCTAATCAAAAAATCTGGAAAGAATTGATGGCTTGATTTTTGAGAAATCACAGTGCAAACTTTTTCCGAGAACTTTCTTTTCAACTTTATATGATAAATAGTGATGGTTATGATCGATTTGTTTTATAAAACTTAATCTATCTATATGTCTTTCTATTTGTATATAAATTTGCAATTAATCACTCGCTAACACTAGGTAAACTCACATTTTCGTGTCTTTGAAAGCGAGAAATTTGTATCAAATTGATTGCTATTTTTTATGTGGTCCTATCATTTCGCAACAGGTGTTAAATAAAGAAAATGCTATAATTTTGTTGCAATTTGTTCAGATACTGTTAAAAATGGTATAGATGCCTATTTTTGTATATGTCGTAGCCGATTATGAATGAAATTTTTTGGCAAATCTTTCTAGTAAAGCAACCCTTTAATGTATGAGGACAATATTATATCATTTTGTAGCGAATTGAATTCTGCGTCGATTGGTACCAAATTTGTGAGTTTAGGTTAAAAATTGCCGGCGCTACAACGTTTCATTCAAAAGCGGCGGGATCCCCGTAGCCGATTATGAATGAGCGGGTCTAGGAGCGTCCAATCATCAAGTATTTGGGTCTAGGAGCGTCTAGGAGCGTCCAATCATCAAGTATTTGGGTCTAGGAGCGTCTAGCAGCGTCCAATCATCAAGTATTTGGGTCTAGGGGCGTCTAGCAGCGTCCAATCATCAAGTATTTGGGTCTAGGAGCGTCTAGCAGCGTCCAATCATCAAGTATTTGGGTCTAGGAGCGTCTAGCAGCGTCCAATCATCAAGTATTTGGGTCTAGGAGCGTCTAGCAGCGTCCAATCATCAAGTATTTGGGTCTAGGAGCGTCTAGCAGCGTCCAATCATCAAGTATTTGGGTCTAGGAGCGTCTAGCAGCGTCCAATCATCAAGTATTTGGGTCTAGGAGCGTCTAGCAGCGTCCAATCATCAAGTATTTGGGTCTAGGAGCGTCTAGGAGCGTCTAACCATCAAGTATTTGGTATCATTCAACGCAGAATCATTGATAATTATGTTAACTTTTTAAAATTAGCAAGATTTGATAAAAAGAAAAAAAATTAGAGCAAAAAAACTGTTTGTTCAAGAGGAAACTTTGAAGCCCCATAATTTTTTTTCTTTTTATCCAATCTTTCTAATTTCAAAAATTTAACATAATTATTAATGATTCTGCGTTGAATGATACTAAACACTTGATGGTTGGACGTTCATAATTGGCTCATTCATAATTGCCACTCATTCATAATTGGCTACGACATATATAATAGGTTGATGCATAAGTCTTTTCGTTTTTTTCGTACTTCTGTTAAAAAGTAACAAATTCACCAATTAATCTATAGTTTGCTCTATAAAAAAAGTGTTTTTTTGTTCAATTTGCATCTTTTTAAATGAATTTCGGTTCACTTTCAAGCAAATTCGAGAGTGAAAAACGCCTTTTGTCGTAAAAATCTATAAAAAACTCTACGGAAAAATTGGCTGAATGAATTTCTCTGAAATTTTGGCGAAATATCAAACGTTTTTTTTCTCTATCTTTTATCTATTGACACGAAGATAGGTTTTCTTTAGCTAAGGTGTCTAAACCGCATCTAAACCGCATCGAGTTAGCCCTTTTTGACTACCCGACTTCATACTCTCAAGAAAATCCAGGCATTAAATATTTTTAAACCCGTTTTAATGTTATTTTGCAGAAAAATAATTGATTTTTCTAATGAAATCAACCGGAGTTTAATTGGTGCATTTGTTGGCTTGAAACGGCAGACGAAAAGGAACAAAAACACTTATGCATCAACCTAATATTTCTAGGATTTAAAAGCTATTTCGCGTTATTAAATTTCATAGCCAAAAAATGCAAAATTTAGGGGTGGTCATTTTGTGATATCCTTATGATAAATAGTCATAGTTATGATCGATTTGTTTTATAAAACTTAATCTATCTATATGTCTTTCTATTTGTATATGTCGTAGCCGATTATGAATGAAATTTTTTGGCAAATCTTTCTAGTAAAGCAACCCTTTAATGTATGAGGACAATATTATATCATTTTGTAGCGAATTGAATTCTGCGTCGATTGGTACCAAATTTGTGAGTTTAGGTTAAAAATTGCCGGCGCTACAACGTTTCATTCAAAATCGGCGGGATCCCCGTAGCCAATTATGAATGAGCGGGTCTAGGAGTGTCCAACCATCAAGTATTTGGGTCTAGGAGCGTCTAGCAGCGTCCAATCATCAAGTATTTGGGTCTAGGAGCGTCTAGCAGCGTCCAATCATCAAGTATTTGGGTCTAGGAGCGTCTAGCAGCGTCCAATCATCAAGTATTTGGGTCTAGGAGCGTCTAGCAGCGTCCAATCATCAAGTATTTGGGTCTAGGGGCGTCTAGCAGCGTCCAATCATCAAGTATTTGGGTCTAGGAGCGTCTAGCAGCGTCCAATCATCAAGTATTTGGGTCTAGGAGCGTCTAGCAGCGTCCAATCATCAAGTATTTGGGTCTAGGAGCGTCTAGCAGCGTCCAATCATCAAGTATTTGGGTCTAGGAGCGTCTAGCAGCGTCCAATCATCAAGTATTTGGGTCTAGGAGCGTCTAGCAGCGTCCAATCATCAAGTATTTGGGTCTAGGAGCGTCTAGCAGCGTCCAATCATCAAGTATTTGGGTCTAGGAGCGTCTAGGAGCGTCCAACCATCAAGTATCTGGTATCATTCAACGCAGAATCATTGATAATTATGTTAACTTTTAAAATTAGCAAGATTTGATAAAAAGAAAAAAAATTAGAGCAAAAAAACTGTTTGTTCAAGAGGAAACTTTGAAGCCCCATAATTTTTTTTCTTTTTATCCAATCTTTCTAATTTAAAAAATTTAACATAATTATTAATGATTCTGCGTTGAATGATACCAAACACTTGATGGTTGGACGCTCCTAAACCCACTCATTCATAATCGGCTACGACATATATAAATTTGCAATTAATCACTAGCTAACACTAGGTAAACTAACATTTTCGTGTCTTTGAAAGCGGCAAATTTGTATCTCTCTTCTCAAACGGGTAAAACCATCAAAAGTCTTTTCGAGAGCATCGATTTTGTATCTAAAAACGGGTTTCTTAAACTTTATAAATATTTTATTTACAAAATTCTGACCTTTTTATAGCAACACGGAGCCAATTCTTCGTATCTTTTTCAATTTCCCCGGAAATTTCTTTGTTTTGATTCCAATCGACGTATGGATAGTAAAGCTTTGCTGATCTGAAATTTAAATTTTAAAAATCTAGAGCTAGAAATTGAATCTTATCTCAAAAACTACACAAAATTCACATTATATCGGAGAAGTTCCCTTTAGAAATCCCGTGAAAAATCTGATCTTTCGCAGAATTCTCCTTTGTCTCGCTTTTGCCACTTTCGTCATTTTGATCCAAAATCTCATCTTTCTTCAAATTCTCCTTGATCGCGCTTTTCTCACTTTCGTCGTTTTGATCCCGTCGATAGTATTTATCAGACTAAAAGATTGATTTTACGATTTTCTTGGGTATTTTATGAATTTTTAAGTCCTTGACTACAGTCCGGCAACTTTCCTAGTCCATAAAAAGCTCTTAAATCCATCAAAAGCCAGACCTGAACCCTGACCGGGGAACTCCTTGAAGTTAGATTTCAAGAGTGATCTGATTTCGACGCGCAAACATCCCCTGGTTAAGGTCATCACGAAAATGCTTTCAAATTCTACTTATCAACTCCTGGAAGTTAGATTTCAGGAGTGATCCATCAGAGAGCCATTTTTGAGATATATACCTTCAAAGTTTCGACCAAGGTCGCAAGCAAACAGCAAGTACTTAAGGCTTTGGCGCGGGTTAAGCTGTTTGTCTTGGTGGTTCAAAAAATAGTACATCTAGTGGATAGTATGCCGACGTTTTTCTCCCTGGTTCGAATCCTCTCGCTGGCAATACTTTTTGAGCAATTTTATTGCTTAACAGGACGCACTTAACCATGTGTTTGCCCCTCGGAATCAGATCGCTTCTGAAATGTAACTTCAAGGGATTCCCCGTTGAGTACTTCATAAAACAGATCTGGATTGAGTAGGACATAAGCCAGCTCTGGACCTTTGAATGCTGCTTAAACTAGCTCAGGATTGAGCACTTTATGGAGTGCTGGATTGGCTCCTTGACAATCCAGGCCTGAACAGTTGGAACCTTTACAATCCAGGATCGGATCCTGAGTACTTGAGCCTGGCTTAATAAGCCAGGCTTGGATTCTCAGAGTCATTTGGAACATCATGGATAACCCTAATGACCTTTAGCAAATCAAATCGAAATTTGCTTTCAAAAAGTATGAAAGATGAGTATCGTTTGTGATATAGGTGCTTCTTGAACTCAGCTATGTTAACTCTGCCTCTTTTTTGGTTCGTTTACCGTTTGGCAATTTACTTAATTTCTTCATATCTTAGCCGGGTTTATTTGAAAAACGTTGAATTTGCTTTCATTCGACTCGAAATCAATTTTTCTATCGAATGAAGGCAAATTAAACGTTTTTCAAACAAACCCGATCAAGGTCCGAGCAAAATTCGTAGGTTGCCAACGAGAAACGAACCGAAAAAGTGGCAGAGTTAATATGGCTGCTTGAACAGTATCTTAAAAGTATAATAACTCACCAAATCTGGCACGTATCCCCAGGGTACTCTGATTTTTAGGTCATCCACTTTTGGCTTGCTTGAATAGAATCGGACCTCTCCGTCAGCCATTTTATCATAGGCGAATCTCGGCTTTGACATTATTGAGTCTTTGTGAATTTGTGAGGATCTAAAGCAGTGAATATTGTTGAAAGTTATTAAAGTGTATCAAGTAAAATTGTAAACGCAGCTTTCCTGACGCACTAAATGCTACAGTTTCCTTGTAGCAACGAGTTAGTTTGGAATTGAGTGCCCCAGAAAGGGTGCGTACAATTTTTAGAGCACAAAGTACAAGTAGAAAACGACTTGAGGCTTAAATCCCGGATACTTTGGGCATTCATTGGACATTTATTGGGCATTCATTGGGCATTCATTGGACATACTTTGGGCATTCATTGGGCATACTTTGGACATACTTTGGGCCTTCATTGGGCACTCATTGGACATACTTTAGACATACTTTGAGCTCAAATCTCTCAAACACACCGCTTTTGACTCACTAGATTCATCAATTGCCCAAAATTTTGGGTAGTTGGATTCACAGGATTGCGTCAGATGGAGTGCGTTTACAAGGTGAAATGAGTCTGCCAAAGTTTGCGAGTTTAAGCACAAAGTACACTAGACTTAAAACATAAAGAATAATAAACTTTAAAAATGTTTAAAATTTTTAATTCCTATTGAAAGTAGGAAAAGGCTTTATCTCTGTCGCTTTACACTTAAATCGATGGCTCTTATCAGTTTCCCCGTTTCTGTGGCAAAAGGAAAATGGCTGACTCTGAGCTTTTGGTGTTTTGATGTTGAAATAAAACAAACCTTAAGCCTTTCAGCCGTCCAGGACCCAAGTGGCCCATAAAACCTTATTTTAACGCAAGGAAAATGAGAAAATTGCTTGCGTAAAGTGATAGCGATTTGTTCGATGCTCAGGAAATGAGTAGTAAGCTTTGAGCAATAAAATTGAACTGGAATGAAGGAATTTGAGCTGAGAGTCATTTGTATTGCTCATAGGCTTTTCTGGGGACATTTGAAGAAAAATAAACTCTTCCTGAGGAATAGGTTGTTTTTGAGCAGGACCCAGGATTGATTTTATTCTTGATTTTGCTATCGAATGATATCAAATAAAAATTGATTGCAGTACAGAACCCTGAAAAAATCAAGAGATAAAACTCTCGAATCGGATCGCATTATTCTCTCGATTTGGCTGCTTATTCATGTACAGCAATCGTTTATAGGATGGAGAATTTGTAGCAAAAAAACAGCTAAATTTGAAGCGAAAGTTGATACAAAAAATTTGGGCATAGTGAGGCCAACATACGGGAAAACTGGCTGAATCGCTGACATTCACCGATTCCAAAAGGGAAGCACTTTATACTAGAGCGGTTTGCCAGACGGTGAGAACGCAAATTCGTGTAAATCTTACATTCGTGTAAATCAATCGTTTATAGGATGGAGAATTTGTAGCAAAAAAAACCCTACAATTACAAGGTTACAAGAAAAACGTAGGAAGAAGTGTTAACGGATCAACTGAGAAACCTTTTTAAAGCACGTGTGGCTGACTGGTTAAGTGTCTTTTATCTTAATCGGAAGGTCGAGGGCTCGAACCCCACATGCGACATGGTCACCCCTTCGGATTTCCTTTCCCTTCGGGTTGAGAGTTAAATTCTTACAGATCTCAGTGTTGGACAAAGAAAACTCAAGATCTAGAATAATTCTAAAAGAAATGGAGTAATCGAAGCGATAAACATAACACTTACGAAGACTATGTACACAGACCAAAGATTGAAGAGAAGCCAGGTGCCATGGCAGAATCTGAATGTGTTTTTTTTGAGGAGAACAACTTTAACAACTTTAACAACTTTAAAATCACTTTATAATCCTTGATTTAACCCAAGTTCAAAGTTTCTAGCTAGATTTAAATCTTCGGGACTATGACAATACCGCACCGCCATTTGCGCACACGAACAAAAGCGTCTTTGGCGCACAAGTCTTTGGCGCACAAGTCTTTTGCGCACAACGCTTTTGCGCACAAGTCTTTTGCGCAACGCCATTTGCGCACACGAACCAAAGGGTCTTTTGCGTCACGAACAAAAGCGTCACATAATAATCTGCACTACTTTTGCATGTTTCTCTAGTTTCATCACTGTTTCAGTACAGTTTTTAAAACTTATTGCACCTAGATTTATTTACGGTTTCAATTTATTTTTATTGTTAAATTGAAATTACGTTGTTTGAAATTGAAATACTAAACTACTCAATTTCAATGTTTCTAGCTAGATCTTCTACTCGAAACTTATAACGAAAACGTTAATCGTTATCTTAATCGGAAGCTCGAGGGTTCGAACCCCACATGCGACATGGTCACCCCCTTCGGATTTCCTTTCCCTTCGGGTTGAGAGGTTTTCTGGAGGGCAGTCTGGTGGTTGTGGCCCCAGTTCTTTAAAGTGACAAGCCACTCCTTCATCGTCATCTTCCCTTCACCACCAAAAAAGCTATTTAGCTCCCCATTGAGCTTAGGGTTAGGGAGCCGTCTGTCATGGCGTGGGTTAAGTTAAGATATAGCCTAGTATTGTGTGTGTCGTTGTATTGTGATTGATATATTTCGTGTATGCGATAAATTCACCACTGGTAGCCCCAGTCGGTATTTTTTTTAAAGAATAATTTCTCAATTTCTCGAGCTCAATGTTATCTTATTAGAAGAGAAGAAAAGTTAGCAGATTGAGTTTAAAAACTCTACAAAATAAGCTACAAATTGATTCTAAAAACTCTACAAGATAAGCCCAGGATTTTGTAAAAAAACAAAAAAGTTTCGAGCAGGATGAGATTCGAACTCACGCGGGGAAACCCCATTTGATTAGCAGTCAAACGCCTTAACCACTCGGCCACCTGCTCACGGGAACCAGGGTCTTCAAAAAGGTTAATCACATAGATCCAAGGAATCAGTCTCTTGATTTTTGGCTTCATAAAAGATTTAGCAAGTTATTCTAAAGTAGATTCTCAAGAAGAAAAGATTCAAAATTATAAAAATCTCGGATATCTTTCACAGGGAAAATGTTTTTTATCGAAGCAAATCGACTCTGAGGATTTCAACTAGAGTGTGCTCCTTGTTGACAGACAATTTGTCAGACAAATTTTCATTGACAACTTTTTTGTCAGACAATTGATCCGACAAGACTTCCGACAACGCGTTTTCTAAAAGGTGCGCTTTTTAAGCAAAACTATAAAGGTCGCGCGAAAAAAATTTGCAAACTTTTCTTAAAAATATAGTAATGGATAGTTTTATTTAAGGATTTAGGTTTTTTAGGGCGTGGAATTTTTTTTTGGAATGGTTCTAGTGCAAATGTAGACAATAGACCTGGTAAATTCGTAAATAATATAATTTTTTAATAGTGTTTCTTAACTTTTCCCGTTTCAAATGTTTTCTTTAATTTTACATAGCATTTAAAAATTTTTAAGTTTTAGCGAAAGAGTAATAGAGTTAAGGAAAGAGTAATAGAGTTAAGGAAAGAGTAATAGAGTTAAGGAAAGAGTAATAGAGTTAAGGAAAGAGTAATAGAGTTAAGGAAAGAGTAATAGAAAAAAAGAGCGCAAGATTTGAATGTACATTTGCATTTTGAAAAATTTGCTGATGCAAAGCATAGGGTTACGGTAGCTTATCCTTGGCGCGCGCTTTTTAGAAAACGCGTTGTCTGCAAGGAACACACTCTAATTTCAACTGAATAAATCAATAGACCAAATCGAAAATTTTCTTCCTTACTATTGTTTTGAAAATCCTATCAATGGCGAATGATTTATTTCAAATGAATTTGAATTTGAAATGAAATGAAAGGAAAATGAAACACCACTTAAATTTACCATTTGAAACAATCACTTTTACCAATATAGATAAATGCTTAAAACATACATATACTATTGTTGATCTGAAAACTCTAAATTTTCTTTCTTACCCAAGCTTTTTTCACTATCAAGTTATTTTGTTGACGCTTTTCTTGGCTCGAATCTTCTTTTCAATGACAATAAATCAGTTTGTAAACAGCTAGGATTTTGCAAAGAATGTGCAAAAAAAGTGTGAGATCTAGTTTTGAATATTTCTTTTTAGAGAAACGAGATTAACGAGATGTATGAAGGATTCCTAATAGTTAGGTCTAATAGATCTATTGAAAGCACTAGTTTCTAGGATTTTCCTTTGATCTTAAGTTTGAGACTTTCTAAGAAATGGTGGTACCCTTTAACATCTACTGTACTTCTATTAAAAGACACCCTCTAATCTAAGAAGCATCTTTTATTCACTTTTGCCATTGACGGCTTTCCTTTGATTCCTTTAAATTCTATTTTGTGCTGTAACTACCGTAGTTCTTGGCTTGTTTCCTTGATTCTTTTTATTTTTTTATTTCATTTTACCTAGTTTTACTTCTTCTAACTAACTTTTGCTTTTAGCTTTTTTATTTCCAATTTATTAATTACATCTAGTAATTTTTAAAGTTTAGGTGACGTCAATGAGTGATCATCAAAGAAATTTGAGCAAACGAGCAAACGGTGAGGTGCTACGACGCATGTTTCAAGCTGGAAGCAATCGGATATACAAAGAAGAACAACAATCGAAAAGGGGGACGACATTTTGACGTTAGCGAGTGCCAAATTCGTGCAGGAAGAAAGCAAGAAGCGAGCCTGACCAATGCAAACAAGAAGACAAAGAAATTATCTGGTGGCGGATGTCGGTTACGATTGTGCAAACTCGAAAATGCCGTCTTGCAATAGATTCTCTACAAACTACAAGAGAAATTGCGTATTTCCTACAAGATGCTGCAGACTAAAGCCCGCGTCGTCGCTCGAAGTTTCCAGGATCCCAAATTAATGGAATTTCAAGCGAGCTGAGGATGGTTGCAAAAGTTTTGCTTTGGTCATCATTTCACACTGCGAAAGCCAACAAGTGTTGCTCAGACACCAGCAGATTACGAGGAAAAACTTGTCAACTTTGTGATGTGTTTGAGTCAACTCCGTGACGTCAACAAGTATGCACACATCCGGGCAGCTGATGGAACCTCCGTTGGATCGATCCGATTGCTGGAAGCACTGTTACCATCGTGGGTGCAAAAAATGTTGTTGTT